TTAAAAATTAGATACCTAGGAATAAATCCAATGCAAAATGTGCAAGACCTCTCAACACAGCAAACTACAAAACAATCAGAAACTAAAGACAACTTAAATACATTGACTGGGATGTATAATCATTCATGGAATAGAAGACTCAGTTAAGAAGTGATGGTGACCCCAAATTCTTTTTCATGAAAAAGTGGATCTATGTCCCCTTCCCTAGAATTTAGAGGACTGTGACTGCTCCAACCAATAAATGATACAGAAGTGACAATATGTTACCTCAAAGGCTAGATCATAAAAGGTCATGCAGCTCCCTCCTTATTCTCTTGGAATACTTGCTCACCAGATGCTCCCTCTTGGAGCTGCCATGTTGTGAGAAACTCGGGCCACATAGAAAGGCTTTCACTAAGTGCTCTATTAGATAATACTGTCTAGCCTTCAGATGATTTCAGCTGCCAGCCATTTAAGTCACCCCCAGCAGCGGCCATCCATACTGTGCCCTATCCCAATTTCTGACCCAAAAGAATCCGTGCACATAAGAAAATGGTTGTTCTTTTACGCCACTTAGTTTGGGGTGGTTTGTCATTCAGCAACAGATAACCAGAACAAAAGATGTCAATTGTACCAAAATTGCTCTATAGATTTAATACAGTCCCAATAGACATGAATAGTCAAAACAATACCATAAAAGAACCAAGTTGGAAGATCCACACTTTCCGATTTCAGAACTTACCACAAAGCTACAGTAATCAGTATCGTTTGGTACTGGCATAAGGTGTAGAGATCAAAAGAACATTGAGAGTGCAGAAATAAACCTCCATGGTTAGTTGGTTTTGAAAGGAGTACTAAGACCATTCAAGGGGAAAGATTAGTCTTTTCAACAAGTGGTGCAGACCTGATCTTTAGAAGGGTTTACTGGCCAGGTTGGCCCTCAGCCGGTATCTAGGAACTTGGCTTTTGCAACTTTCCCTGTGTGATATTGTTGTGCCTGCTGTGCTGACTAGACTCTTTAAATAATGTGTTTTTCTGAAAGACTAGAATTTTAAAGGGCAAAGGGTATCTGCATGATTTAGCTCCCAATAAAAACCCTGGACTTTACATTTCAAACAGAATTTCCTGGACTGAAACACTGTGCCCATGTTACTCCATTTCAGAGTCACTCTGTGTGGCCTGTTCAGAGAACACAGGCAGCCTGCACAGAGTCCTCCAGATTCTGCCGCATCTCCATTCCCATTGCTGATCCATCCAGCTGTGCATCTTTGCTGTGTCACTATAATAATTCTTAACTGTGAGTAAAACCATATGCTTATTAGTCTTGTGAATTCTTCTATGGACATACTGAATGCATGGATGGTCGTGAGACTGCCAAAACAAGTGTATCAGAAGTGATAACACAACTGGTGTTATCTGTTCCTATATATATATATATATATATATATATATATATATATATATATATATATAATATATATATATATCAAGATACCAGTAAAATATTTGATATACAACTCACAGTGATCTCTTACACTAGAGATCTTAACACAATCAAGTAAATTATATGGGGAGAGCATAGCTCAGATCTTGTGGCAGTAGAATAAAAACAACTTCTTTCTGAGGTAAGAAAGGTACATCCCTCCCTCTAGAACAGTAGAAGCTAAGAGAGTGTTAAAATAAACTTTTAAAGAAGTGTATCTAAATGTACCTTATTGCACAAAAATACCCCCAAATGTTAGTATGTTAGTACTTTGGGGTGAATATTTCCTCTTCCTATTAGTCCAGTTCATGTATAATTTTATTTTATTTTTTAATCCTCAACCAAGGACATTTTTCCATTTTTTGTTCAGATAGAGCGGGAGGGAGAGAGAGGAAGAGAGAGAGAGAGAAAGATTGATGTGAAGGGACACATTGAGTGGCTGCCACCCGCACGACCAACCAGGGCCGGGGACAAACTGCAACCGAGGTACGTGCCCTTAGCGGGAACCGAACCCGGGTCTCTCTGTACCGCAGGCCGACACGCCAACCGCTGAGCCAAACTGGCCAGGGCAAGTTCATGTATAATTTAAAACCGCATTCTTGGTATAACAGGACCATGGGAGCAGAAATTTCAATGTCCCATAAAACCCAAAACCGGTTAGGTTGTCACCAAGACTAATGCATTACAACTTATTTCTACAACCAAAAACGTCAGCTGTCCACAAATGTTCAGGTACCACCACTACCAAAAACAAAAACAAAAACAAACAAACAAACAAACAAACAAAAAACTCCTGGTGAAAGTGCATGGATCACAGTTTGAGAAGAGTTTGTAGCTATCGCTCAGTACCAAGAAAAAGTAGAAATGACTATGCATAGGATTTTATTACAAGTGAAATTAGATGAATCTCTACCTGCTGCCTTAAATTTGTAACATACAACTGTCAAAACAGTAAAAGAGAAGCACCATAACAAATGAGAACTTTCACAAATAACCTGCTTTACATTTTAGGGCTTTTAAATTGCAATTAAACTTCTGCTTAAAGAAAAAAATGTTGAAAGTTCTAGTTTACAGTTAATAGAATGATAGAAGTAAACGCTAAAAAATTCAGATTTGTTACTGTTTTAATAATAATCACCTAAAAGCTATAAATAAACTTTTTTTTAAAAAGCAGTACTTTGTTATTTATTAACAGACCAAGGTCCACAATTTGAGTACAATGAAGCTCTGTTTATATGGCCATGACTAAAGCATTAATCACATTTTCCATGGCTGATCCTAATAAGAATGAGACAGGACTGATGATTCTACTACAGAATTCAAATTTTTAAATCATTCACTGGACTGGATTTTGAGTCCATTTCAAGTTGACTACTAATAAATAAACATGACATAAATAGCTTCATGACCAGGAATTTCTTTGAATCTGAGAGAAAAATGAATTTGCCCAATGTTTCTATTTTAAAATGGTGTCAGATAGGTACTATATTTATTTGGGTGACCACTTTGTAAGTTATATAAATGTCTAATCACTGGGTTGTATACCTGAAACTAATATAATATTGCATGTGAACTGTAATTAAAAAATAAAAAATTATTTTAAAAACATAAAAAATAAAGAACTATGAGAGGGCAGGGTCCTGTGAAATATCAATGATTGAATCATGTACAAAGATAAACAGATCATTGTAACAAATAAGAGTATGGAAAATTATATGTGGTATTGTTTCTAGCATTAAGTTTTTAAAAAGTCACTCTTTTAAATATTAACTCTTAGAGTTGCCCTTGTGTGCTGTGTTTATGTGTTTCTCTTCTCATTTAATACCTTTTGATCCTTTGAAATGGATAAGTCGGTGATTTACAAAGAAAATTTTTAATTTTTCCTAACAAAGTTCATGGAAGGTTGGGCAGGTCGGGAAGGGGGGGTAACTGAAAGCAAAAATCAGTACTATATGGCTTGCATAGGCATGTGTAAACCTGTATTTCAGGAATCCTACACATTTGACAGCTGGGGGATGAGAATGAGGTTGCCCTTACAACTTGTATTGCTAATTATACATGGCAATTACAATTTGAATATAGTTTTCAGCTACATCTCAAAGGATCCAGGACTTTAAGGAAGATCCTAAATTACAATTAAACTTCTGCTTTAAAGAAAAAAATGTTAAAAGTTCTAGTTTACAGTTAATAAAATGATAAATCTCCAAAAGTCTGCCCATTTCCTTCACTCCAAGGAGGTCCTTAAATTAACGGTTAATTAGAGGAAGGCCCTTGGCTTGGGCTTTACAGTTATAAAAGTTATGATGTACTCTTTGTTAGAATTAAGCAAAAACAACATACCAAATGGTGATTTCAATGATCATTAAGCCACTGATGAACTCTGAAGATTTTAGTTATGAACTTGTGCTCACTCCTCAGGAGTCTGGCTGTATAACTCAGATGTAAGCAAAGGCAAACAAGAGTTAGGCAAGTTTCAAAAACTTTAATAAAGAAAAAATGACACTTCCAAAAATAAATGCCACACAAATCAAAGTTTATAAAAAAGTGAAAGATATTCATGAAACAAAACCCTTCACTATCAAAATATACTGAATACTAAAATCTAATGATATTGAGTGTTCAAATTCTGGGAGAATGTAGTTCATAATAATATAGTTAGTAAAGTAGTGTTCTTCATGATATGGCTGTTTCAAGACATCACTTAATATAATTACTTTTTAAATCTATATTTTCTTAAACATCCATTTCACAATTCATTTAATTATTTTACATTCATTTATAAAAGCGAATATTCTAACAACGGGTTATTCTGTGCTTTAATAATAATGAACCATGGTAAAATACTTCAGTGATTTAAATGCTTTGCTAATGACTACACCCACCACAGATTCTTACACACTTATACAGCTACTCCAATAATCAGAAGAGCTACAACTCTTCTTAAAAATGACACTCACTCAAGTTTGGTAAGCATGCTATTAATTAGAGATGTATTTTCCCAATTTAAAACATTAGAACTTTGGAGCTTTCTTTAAAATTGGCAAAGATAACCTGCTTATTTAACTACTTTCAACTGGCATCATTTTAGAATTTTCTATATCGTAAAAAAATTAATGTTCTTTTTCAAACTGTGATGGCACTAAAATTCTATTTTAGAAATTCTAAATTTTAAAATATGAAGAAATACAATATCAGTTACATCTAGAGAGTAGCATTTTAATGAATTAACTTAATTATTCTTCAGGTCTATAAAGATTTTTCTTCATTGTGTGCGACACTACTTAATACACACACATCTTAGTACTTCAGTATATAATCCATTTTAGATATGATCCAAGACAAACCCTAACTTATTCTAAATTCTCTTCTATAACAAGGGACCAATCTATATTATCCTTTGGACTGACAATTTAGCAAACACATACAAACCTAAACCAATAAAATTTATATAATTAATGGTGGTTAATTAGCCAAATCAACAGACCTCAGTCTCATAATTTGGAATTAATTTTCATGCAAAATTTTACATAGAGTTTTGATCCTTACTTATAAAGTATTATTTTATCTTTTTAAGTAATCAAGACAAATAGTAGAAAAAGCATTTTATTTATATGGAAAAAGCTACATTAAGATCTGTAAAAGGTGTCATTATAATATTGCCTATACAGAAAAAAATTCAAATGTGAATAGCAACAAATAAAAGTTACACATCTTCCTACTTAGCAGTGCAATTAATTCACATTGCAATAAAGTTAAGTCAAGTATAACAAAATCAAAACAAGTGTTTCTCCATAATCAGTATACTGAGAATTACAGTGTAAAGTTCATTCAGGTTTAAGAAATCTGCAATCGATCTACAGAATACCCTAAGACAAGGCAGACAGACAGTTAATTCATTTAATTATCAGCTGTTCGGTTTTTTTCAATACTGTTCACAGGAAAAAAGTAATGAGTTGACATACATGTAAATAGAATATATTTAGTCTATACAGTAAAAAAATACAAATTATAAAGTGAGCTAACAAAGAATGAAATCTGAATACAGATTTATAAAACTGACGACGTAGACAACACATACAGTATTTCTCATGTAAAAACATCTAGTTTCAGCAAAAAATAATTTGGTTGCTTTTCAGATGCATTGTAGATCTTGTAAGCTGAAGATGCAGATGTCCAAGTATCTTAAAAACCATAATAAATGTCTTTCTCAATGCATACAAAATGATAAATGCTCTCATCACAGTCTTAAGGGTATTTTTGGAAGTCTGTTTGTCTTGCTTCAGAAATACATTTAAAATGGATAAAAATCAAAGGATTTCATGGTACAATGAGACAGTAAACAGTGCTCAATTTACTGCTAATATTGAAAAAAACCTAGATTTTACAGTACTCTGGTATATATGAAAATTTTTTTGATTTTACATTGCATATTTCTGAGTCCATTCTCTTGCATGTCTGTTGTATCTGTAGGCATACAAAAGGGATATAGTAAAAACATACAAATTGAATCTTTTAGAAGATCTTTATAAAACAGTACTCTATTTCCTATGCTTCATTGCAATAATCGTACATATACCAACTACTGGGTCAATATGACTTAGCCTTATGCATAAATAAAACAGAAAACATGGATTTCTCTACAACCTAAAAACATACCTAAATTATAAACGACAAAATGAAAAAAAATGTTTTCTAATAAAAATCTATAAAGGCAATGAGCATTATTTGTAAAAGGCAAATGAATCGACGATACCTGGAAGATGAAGCAGCTTGAAAACTAGATCAGTTTAGGGGGTTAGGGATAACTTCTCTTCATGGAGAAGATAAGGAATGTAATATCCAATACTTCCTGATTATCAAAATCTTTCATTTTAAATTTACTCTCTAGAATTATAGATAGTTCTTTCCTACCAAAAACACAACATACTGTGCAAATGCAGAACTTGTACTATTAAAAAATAATTAATCAGTATGTGAAAAGGAACAAGATTTAAAAAACAAAACAAAACAGTAATAAGAGTTTTTAAAAAAAGGTTTACTCCACAAGAAAGAAAAATAAACTTAATGTAAGTATGATAAGCATAACTAAATGTACTTATAAATATAGTGGTAATACTTATATTTTGGTAGACTACAAAGAAACATACCCAAACAGAAATAAACATAAGTAAACACTTACTTTTCTTTGTCTGATTTATAGATTTGTGCAATATCTGGTACTAAGGGGTCATCTGGATTAGGATCGCAAAGTAGAGAACATATGGACAATAAAACTAGATCAAAAAGAGAACATCATATTAGATAATGATCTTTCTTCTTTATACAATTACATAAAAAATTTCAATTAATATAGACAATGAACTTATAAAGAAAACACAATATTAAATTACATTTTAGACTATAGCTGGTAGCAAGTATTTTTAATTTTTTAAATTTTAAAACCACCATACAATGTATATAATACAAAATTATTGTAACTTTTAAATTCTACTTGAATTTCTATTTATTTTACAAATGTGAACCTTTAAGTAGGTATTACAACCTTGAAACTCAAGTGTTCTTGGGACTTCCGGTCAAGATGGCTGCGTAGGTAAACATGGTATCACGTCCTCCCACAACCACATCAAAGTTACAACTAAACTACAGAACAACCATCATTCAAAACCGCCTGAAATCGAGCTGAATGGAAGTCGTACAACTACAGAATTAAAGCAGCAGCCACATCCAGACTGGTAGGAGGGGTGGAGGCACGAGGGGCTGGTCCCACACCCACGTGTGGCGGATAAAAATCAGGAGGATACCTCGGCTGGGAAGGTCCTTCCTGAGGACTGAGGGATCCCTGTCCCATACCAGGTGCCCCGCTCAGGGTTCCAGTGCCAGGAAGAGAGTCCCTATAACTTCTGGCTGGAAAAACCAGCAGGAACCTCAGGGAAGCTGAGGCGGCTGGAACCCCAGGCAGCTCCTCTTTTTTTTTTTTTTTTTTTTAATATTTATTTTATTTTATTTTATTATTATTTTTTTTTATCCTCACCCGAGGACATTTTTGCAATTTTTGTACAGATAGAGTGGGAGGGAGAGAGAGAGAGAGAGAGAAACATCGACGTGAAAGGGACACATCGAGTGGCTGCCACCCACACGACCGACCAGGGCCGGGGACAAACTGCAACCGAAGTACGTGCCCTTAGCGGGAACCGAACCCGGGTCTCTCCAGACCGCAGGCCAACGCTCTAACCGCTGAGCCAAACCGGCCAGGGCCCAGGCAGCTCCTCTTAAAGGGCCCGCGCACGGACTTATCAGACTCACTCCCTCTAAGCTTGGAGGGGAGGCAGCTCGAGGGGCACCAGAGACGTACAGGGAAGAACTGAGCTGTTTGGCACTGGAGCAAGGGCTGGAGAGGGGGCTTTCTCCAGGACAAACGTGCTGTCAGAGGCCTTTGTTCCCTTGGTGAGCCCTTCCCGGGGGTGGCAGACAGCCACCATACCTGGGACTCCAGCAACCTGGCTCACATTGGTAGCCCCGCCCAGGTGACTCCCTGAGGCCCCGTCCCACCCAACTTTCAAGCCCACCCAAGCTGTTGCCACTTGCTTAACCATAGGATTGGCCTGTCTTGGATCCTGCTTCAGGCTTTTCCTAAATTCTTTCAAACGAGCAGAATGAGGTATGGTCTCAGCTAGCCCCATACCTCTCGTTAAGTAATACACTGAAACAAACACAGGGAGGCAGCCAAAATGAGGAGACAAAGAAACAGGTCCCAAATGAAAGAACAGAACAAAACACCCAAAAAAGAACTAAGCGAAATGGAGATAAGCAACCTAACAGATGCTGAGTTCAAAATACTATTTATAAGGATGCTCAATGAACTTAGTGAGGGCCTCAAGAGCATAAAAAAGGACCAGTCAGAAATGATGGATGCACAGTCAGAATTGAAGGAGGCATTAACTGAAATAAAGTATAATTTACACAGATTCAATAGTAGCATACGTAAATCCAAGAAGCAAACCATCGATTTAGAATATAAGGAAGCAAAAAACGCCCAATCAGAACAGCAAAAAAAAAAAAGAATCCAAAAAAATGAGGCTAGTGTAAGGAGCCTCTGGGACAACTTCAAGTGTGCCAACATTCGCATCTTGGGGGTGCCAGAAGAAGAAGAGAGAGAACAAGAAATCAAAAACCTGTTTGAAACAATAATGGCAGAAAACTTTCCTAACTTGATGAAGGAAACAGACACACAAGTCCAGGAAGCACAGAGAGTCCCAAACAAGATGAACCCCAAGAGGCCCGCACTAAGACACATGATCATCAAAATGTAAAAGGTTCAAGACAAAGAGAGAATCTTTTTTTTTTTTTTTCTCCATATACTTCTGCAAAGAGAGAATCTTAAAAGCAGCAAGAGAAAGGCAGCTAGTTACCTACAAGGGAGTTCCCATAAGGCTGTCAGTTGATTTCTCAAAAGAAACTGCAGGCCAGAAGGGAATGGCAATAAATATTCAGAGAGATGAAAAGCATGAACCTACAACCAAGATTACTCTCTCCTGCAAAGCTGTCATTTAGAATCGATGGCCATATAAAGACTTTCTCAGACAAGAAAAAGTTAAAGGAGTTCACCACCAAACCATTATTATATGAAATGATGAAGGGTCTTTTTGAAGAAAAAGATAAAATATATGAACAAACAAAATGGCAATGAATACATATCTATCAACAATGGAATCTACAAACAAAATGAACAGGTAGAACAGAAACATTTTCACAGATACAGAGAACATTTTGTTGGTTGCCAGATGGGAGGGGGTTTGGGGGAATGAGTGAAAAAGGTGAAGAGATTAAGAAGTACAAATTGGTTGCTAGATTGACAAACCTCAAAGGGAAAGGGGTTGGGGGGGTGGGAAGAAACAAACCAAAGAACTTATATGCATAACCAATGGACACAGACAATAGTGTGGGAAAAGGCGGGAGGGTGGTGGGAGTGGGGAGGAGGGGGTCAATGGGGGGAAAATATGGAACATCTGTAATACATTTTACATTCAACAATAAAAATTTAAAAAAATAAAAGAAAAGAAAAAAAAATTAAAAAAAAGAAACTCAAGTGTTCTCTACAAAAATATTTTTGGTAACACACACTCCCTCAAATGGTACATACTCAAAAAATTTTTATAATAGCATCCTAACGTGAGATGTCTCTTAGAGATAGTTTTTTACTTTAATGAGAAAACTGTCCATTTTTTATTCTATTTTAATGCAAAAAACAGAATTATTATCTAACATGATATTCTGTTTTGAATCAATTCTAAGTAAAGCAATCTGATGACAGTTAGCCGTCCAAACCATTTGGACACTGTGCTCATGTACTTTTTTACTTTGGCTTAGTGCTATAGACTGTCTACAAAGAAGGAAGATTTGTAAGATTTTCTTAATGACTCTTTTTTTTTTTTTAATCCTCTGAGGTTATTTTTCCATTGATTTTCCTATAGAGTGGGAGGGTCGGAGTGGGAGGAGAGAAACATTGATGTGAGAGAAACACATCCATTGGCTGCCTTCTGCAAGACCCCAACCAGGGCCAGAAATAGAACTACAACTGAGGTAAGTGCCCTTGACCAGAATCGAACCCGTAATATTTTGGTCTGTGGGCCAATGCTCTAACCACTGAGCAAAACCAACCAGGGCAATGACTCTTTTATTCCATGTACATTATAAGTATCACATGCATGTAAAAATAATGTGAATAGTTATGATATAACTTGTATATTTTAAAATGTAGATGAAAATTTTAAAAGTAGTTGTTTCTTGCCACATTACATCAAATACTAATGCAGATAGCTACACACACACAAAAAATCTAAGTATCTGAAAAAAGAGGGAACAAGGACTCTGGTTCCTCATTTGTCTGCTTCAGTTGCATGCCACTACTTCTGAGGGGGGTCTGTGGAATCTTTGAAACAACCTTCCATCTTCAGCCTCCTCCTCTTCTACTATGTTCCTTTATCTTTTCCTATTCTTCAAAATCCACGGGTGAATTTATAAAGTAAAGTTGATTCTTAAATGACACAAAGAGGGGGTACTAAGGGCACTAATATTAAAACTAATATTTGCCCAGACAGTGATGCTCAGTGGTTGAGCATTGACCCATGCACCAAGAGGTCACCAGTTTGATTCCCAGTCAGGACACATGCCCAGTTGTGGGCCAAATCCTGGGGGGGGGGGCATGCAGGAGGTGGCCAATTGATGTTTTCTCTCATCCATGTTTCTTTCTCTCTCTCTCTCTACCTCCCTCCCTCTCCCTTCCTCTCTCTCTTTAAAATCAATAAAGAAAAAAATGTAAAAAACAAAAAACTAATATTTAATTCATCTTCCTTATCTTTCATTGTACATTAAACTGCAATTATCTGTGCTCATGTCTCCAGGAAGTTTCCAGACTAGACTCATGAGAAAAATCAAAATAAGACATTTAAAATAAAATACCTGTATTTTATAAGCTACCTTACAAAATAAGCAAAAGGCAAGTTCCTTATCTCCCTAGTCCTACTATCCAGAGCCATGAGTCCCGATTTCATTATTATGCACAAAAATCAAATGTTTTCAGATAAGGTAAAAGAAATGTTGACATTCATTTGGGTGCTTACTATGTGCTAGATGCAGTGACACTATGTGGTAATACTCTTACAAACCCCATTTTATATAGGAGGAAACTGAGGCTATTTGAAACTGTTCTTAAAGGACAGATATCAGAAGGTAACAATGCTGGTTATTCTTTATAAACAGCTACCAATGTCAGAAGATAATGCTCAACATGTGCAGTCTGCCACTTCTTTTACATGTGTAAGTATTTAGCTGCTTATGCCAAATGAATTATATTTTGTGATACCATTCCAGGGAGTAATGAATAACCATTTGACACAGAATCTTTCCTACATCTAGTGCATAACAGTTACACTATGTGAAATATTTTTAAAAAGACACTAGAATCTACATGAACATTTAATGCAAACATTTTAGGTCAGAAAAACTGCTATTCACAAATAACCAACTGACCTAAAGGGCTATTAATTATCTAATACTTGAAATAATTATGGCTGTAGACTTTGTTTCCTATACACCTCATTACTTTTATTTTATCTTATTTTTTTAATATGTTTTTATTGATTTTTTTTTAGACAGAGAGGAAGGGAGAGAGAGATGGAAACATTGATGAGAGAGAGAAACATTGATCGGTTGCCTCCTGGGCACGTGACCTGACAGGGAATCAAACTGAGACCTCTCAGTCCATGGGACAATGCTCAATTCACTAAGTGACACCGGCTGGGCAAAAAAAGTCATGCCCTGGCTGGTATGGCTCAGTGGTTGGAGCATCGACTCATGCATCAAAGGGTTCGATTCCAGGTCAAGGACATATACCTGGGTTGCAGGTCTGGTCCCTGGCCCTGGTCAGGATGTGTGCAGGAGGTAACCAGTAGATGTGTCTCTCTGAGATTGATGTTTGTTTTTTCTCTCTCTCTTCCTCTCCCTCCCTTCCACTCTCTCTAAAAATCAATGGAAAAATATCCTCAGGTGAGGATTTAAATAATAAAATGTCATATATTAAGGTAGCATTAATTTAAAAAAAATTTTTTTTTATGGATCCTTCTCTGAATCCTTTAAAAGGAACAATTTCCTTAGATTTTATAAAAAGGAAAAACTACCAAGTTACTTTAGGATCAGATGCTTCTAACTCAAAACAATATTTTCCAACCGCCAGGTTCTCTTCTGTTAGAGAAACAAGACATGAATTAAGAGGGCTGGCAGAGCAAATGGAATTGCCTACAGAAACAAAAAGGGCCTCAGATGTACACATCTGATCATGTAGCAAAGAACAATGTTACAGATTATTGGAAGAGTCCATATGGAGTATGTACCGGTCATTGTGACAACACTATCGATAACTCAAAATTTAGAGCAGTGATTTTCAACCAGTGTGCTGCAAGAATTTTGAAAACATGCAATACTTGACTATTTAGCCAGGGGCACTGAGCTCTTTTCCCTTAGACTGTCAAATAAAAAAAATGACAACAGCCAACACAACAACAGCTATCTGGTGTGAATGAATCAAAATTATACCTGGTTTATTTTGTCAGATTGGCAAGAAATATAATGTTTTTTGGTGTGCCACAGATTTTTAGTTTATTTGTGCCATGAAATGAAAAAGGTTGAAAATCGCTGGTTTAGAGTAATATGTTGTTGTCTTGCATTATTCTAAAGTGTGAAATTCAATTTAAATCATTTATTTATCAGTCTAATCTAATATTTCTTCTTACATGAAGTAAAACAGATGTAAAGTTTCAATCATTATGTCAATAATTCCATTTAATAAACTGGACAACTGGCTCAAAAATCATATATTTAGTTCTGCTCTCTCTCTTTTTAAAGATAAAATCAAACCTAAAGGGTAAAATGGCAAGAGACTTTATCCCCGAATTTCTAGCTCTTAACATTTTAAATTTCTCTCATTTCATCACTTAGATTTGCCCACCAAAACCACCCCCACCAAGCTAACTGCTAAAACCTCAAGAGAATACATATAAGAGCTATGAGAGCAAAGCAAAATCAAAGCAGGAGAAGACACAGTAGTTTGGTTGTCTAAAACTTTGGTCCTTGGATACTTCTGCTGTATTTTTCTTGTCTCAGTATTATCAACTGTCATATATCCGATAAATGAAATTACCTTTTGATACAGTCAGAGCTGGTGACCACTGTGACCTCAGGATATCAAGACAAATACTTCCATTACTGTTTATGTTTGGATGGTAAATTTTTGTTGTGAAAGCGATCTAAATATAAAACAAAATAAAAATATGACAATCTAAGAACAATGAACATAAAAGAACCAATGTGCTCTAGGGCAAAATGTCTTCAGTTTTAAGTGACCACAGTAGAAAAATGTATTCAACCCACATGGAATGAAGATCTACTTTGTGCGCACAAAGTTTTTGCTACTGGGAATGTGAAAGCAGATAAAGTCAGTTTTCCCACTCCCCCTCGAACCCCCACCTCCAGCAAGAAACAGAAATATTTTGGGGAGTGCAATAAATAAGTGTATAATAGCTGATATGACTGGCTGAGCGGCACTGAAGTAATTAACCATGGCTCTGATGATCCCTCAAAGTAATAATCCTTTTCTTAATTTGATGGTCAGTGATACCTGCAAGAGGCGCTAGGATCTAAAAATAGAGTGCTGCCTCTGTTCTAGGGGAAAGTTGAGGGGCCTCAGTTTGTAACTTGTCCTAAGAAATCCACCAAGAATCCTAATCTTCCACAAGAGTTTTTGTTATATCATTTCATACATATGTAATGTTATTCAGGTGTTTTTAAAAATCTAAAATAATTAGTTCCTGTATGCTCTCCCTCTCCGGAGCACACCTGTACCTTCCCCTCCCCCCAGGCAAGTTAAGTTCCCCCTTCTCTCTCCTAAGCTCCAAGGACTCTTCTTTTGCTTCTTACTTGCTTCCTGAGCCGTTGCAGCCCAGCTGCCTCACTTCTACTACCTCTTTAACTTCCTAAATAAACCTTCTCTTATAATTTGAAAAAAAATTGTTTTAATTATTTCCTGAATGACAGAATGTGTTAATGATTTTCTCCCCATTACTTGTTTCCCGGTGTAATCTAAATTAAACTAAGAACATGTTTTTACCCTTCCTACCACACTAAATGAAGGGATTGTCACTTTTACTTTTGTATTGCCCAATGTAACAGAACATGGTAGGCGTTCAATAAATGCTTGCTGAAAGCTTAAAACTGAGAGAAAAGAATCAACTTTGGGAAGATAATCCCTTAAATGGAAAAGTCTGATTCTTGACCATAAAACACAAACTACAGAGATCTAATGAAAAGGAAAAGAAAGTAAGGAGCCTAATTACAGCATAACAAATACTGCCTTTTGTTTTACAAACAAAATACAATTATTTGAGTAGAAAGCATATTTTAGAGTCAGTAGTTTTACAGAACAGTTGAACAAGCTAACCTGTCCCAGACATAATGCTAACCTGTCTCAGACATAATAAAAGTATCCCGGACATAGGAGTCACATTAATCATAAAAATAAAAATACCTTTGGTGGTTTAAAAGGATAGTCTGTCGGAAAATGTACAGTGAGAAAGAAGACTCCACCTTGATATGCGCTATCAGGCTGAAATGACAAAGGATCTGCATCAGTGTTTGATTACCACATTTATTTGATAACCTAAAATGGTCCTCCACCCCCAACCCCCAATATGTCAGTTTGAAAAATGTGCCATCATTTTGTCGTAAGTTCAAATCATTTACCTTAAAAACAGGTTTTTCTTTGCAGGTATAAAGGAGGATTTTCCAAACATCATGTCGACATCATAGAGTTTAAAACAAAACAACAACAAAAATAGGACACACACAGTGGTGTGACTTGCCCAAACATATCTGTTTACAGGCACAGATTTGTAAACATCAGTCCACACAGAAAACTGCTATGAGAGAAGAAATATTTCCTGCAGCAGTAATCAGTATTAATAAAGGGCTGGGGCTAGCATTTATCTTCTAATTTATGTAACTGCAGTTCTGATGGTCCTCTATGGGGCAAGAATGGAGATGAACTGAAGAGGACAAGTTACGAAAAGGAAAGGCGAAGGGCTAGTATTACACAAGTCAGACCTCGAATCTTCAAGCAGTGATAGTTTATAAAATAATGTGAAAATGTAAAAGAAAAGCTCCCAACAAAACTAATACATTCAATATTCATGGAATTATAAAATTAGGAATCAACAAGAGAAATTTAACATGTGTCTTTATGGCAATTAGAAAATATGTTACAAGCAAGGAGAAAAAGATAATTTTTTAAAAGGTAGCAATAATACCTAATATTATATTTTAATTCTTTTATATTTCATTAAATGTATCATGTTATATTAACATTTGGGTTATGACAGCAAGACTATCATTACTTCTTTCTTAAGTTTCTGCATGTATATTAGAGGACTGCACTGTATAATTATTCTTACTATATGTAATGTTTAATTCTAGTTCGTCAAAAATTATAAGGAATGTAGAAAACATAAGTAAATTACAACTGACAGTCATGGTCTGTTTTGATATACAAATGATACTATACAGTGACATGTTTACGCTACTAAAATAAAGGGATTATGAGTAACATAATTATAACCATTTACTACATGTAATTCACCTAAGAAATATTTTTGAAGGGCTATAATTCAAGTGGTAAGGACGGGACTTTAAATGATAGTATTTTGAAAGTTCTTAGTTAGCAATGAAAAACAAACAAATAACCAGATTCTTCTTAAACATTGTTATTTAAATAAATATGTTGCATTTCACCCTTTAAAAGGCTAACTTAACAATTTAGTAATTGAGACACTTGTCCAGAATTCCTTCTCTCAGTAATTGTTTTGTTGTTGTTTTTTAAGTGAAACACAAGGCGATATGATTAAAAACTCTATCGCTTCCTCGATAAAGCTCTTCTGGGGGAGCGAGGAGAGAATGATGTTCACGGAAACATGTTTCTGTTTCCCAGAAAGCAGATTTGAGCTGTCAGTGCCCATTCTCGTGCAATCAAATTTCTGCTCACAGAAAGGAGAACCTCTTTCTAGTCTTAACTGCCTCTCGGGTGTCGAAAGAAATAATCTTAAAGATATTAAGTGTTAAGAGAAGCCACTCGTAAAATAGCAGGTAATTGTGACTTCAGGATAATCCAACAAAACTAAAAACAGCAAACTCAGGTGGCCAAGGCAGACTGTTCTCTCTCACAAACAGGAAGTGATAAAACTTATTGCCAACTGGTAACTTGTTACTTGTAGGAATTCCATTATTGGGTTAATTAGACCTATTTCTGACCTACTAAAACTGTCGATATGAGAATAATTATGCTTCGTTCTGAACAACTGGCTTTTTGTGTCTAAGAAAAAGAAAAAAAGATAAACAGCCTAGCTGCAAATTGTGGGTGATCCATTACTATGTGTAATGATCAAAGATTTGGCAAACGAAAACACATCACAGTGATTCTAGCAAGTATTTGCCATCAGTGCTGTAGAAAATTATCATAAACCTTTTAAATCACATTTTGCTTCCTGAGTGATTCAGATACAAGAAAATTCAACCTTAGCCACAAACATCTGATCAAAGGTGAAATGGCAAGAATGAAGTATGGCTGAGGGGGTTAATTTCATATATATGAATCATACTTACAGGCCCCATAATAGTTGCTTGCCAGTGGAACACTGAAACAAACAAAGGAGTTTTGGAGTCATTAACAAATGGTCAAACCTATGTCATTAATGGTAGCAAAATGCTAGCAATAAAGCAAAGCTTACAGTCGTCTCCCACAGGGCCAGCTGAACAGTGAGCAGGTGGGTCACGTTGTAAATCACTTAATTCCTGAAACAATACAAAATACGTTACGTTAATTCTTTTTTTCCAGTGAAACAGCACAATAAAACCATTTTAGGCAGTTCAACTCAAAATATGAAAACAAAAATGTGGCCTGAGGCCGGCGGGGGTGCCATCATCACTCAGCCTTCTACTCAGTTTTTCCTCTCTGGCACCCTGGGCTCTCGGGTAGGGGGTCTGTGCAGCAGCCTGGAGCTCAGATTCTTAAAAGCCACAGGGAAATGGAAAATTCACCGTCACCATTGCCAGAAAGAGCGATTTATGGCTTCATTCTTTTCTTAAACTCCCAATTTGGTTTCATACCATATACCGTGTGGGCTTTTATTCCTGAATCTTGGCTAAACTCCTTAGGCTTAACCTATTGGCCTCCAAAGTATTGGGCAGTTGCACTGCCCGTCTACCTCTTCATTACTACAGCAATAGGGTACGTACTCTTATTTGGAGTAAAAATGATGAGTACCTGGCTATTCAACTCCATTCGAACAATCACAGATAACTATGCAAAAAATCAACCGAAGAAGAAATGCCAAGAAGAAGCCATGCCAGCATTAAAAGATATTCCCACTAGTGCCCTCACTGGCTTGGCTTAGCAGCTGGAGCATTGGCCTGTGGACCTAAGGGTCGAGGGTTCGATTCCCAATCAAGGCCATGTACTTTGGTTATGGGCTCCATACCTGGTCTAGTCACGGTCATGCAAGAGGCAATCAATCAAGATGTGTCTCTCTTACACTGATGTTTCTCTCTCTCTCTCCTTCCCTCCCTCCCTCCCTTCCACTTTATCTAATCAATAAAAAAATATCCTGGGGTGAGGATTAACAACAACAAAAAAAGTGATATTCTCATTAGGTGAAATAAACCAAATGTTCTATCTTACAACCAGAGAACTTTACATCACAAAATGTAGACTAACATCAAACGTTTATTATAATTTTTTGACATAATAGTTTTGACCATAATTATCTTTCTCATTAATATCCAGTATCAAAATATTTTGAAAAATGTAAATTGAACTTCTCTTAGATTAAGCTCCGTTAATATTGTAAATGTTCTCAAATATTAGTTATTAATGGAGAGAATATAAATAAAAGACTGCATTAGCATAAAAAAGATAACAAAATGTACTCTGTCACTTATTTGAAGAAGAGTGGGGAATATGGTATTAAATTCCTTCATGAGACATCTCCAAACCTTGAAAAAATTAAATGTATTAAAATAGGTTTTCTTTAACATCTCTAAGACAAAAATATTTAATGAGTATCTACTATAGGCAAGGTAGTTTATATAAGTACTAGGTATATAATATCTAAGAAACAGGTCTTACTTCAGCAGGTACATAATCTAGTTTGGGAGAAGAAAAGGTCACAGAGAGACGGCTATTTAAGGAACAATCCAAAGGTTCAATGAAGAAAGAAGAACAGCCCTGGCCAGTTTGGCTCAGCGGTTAGAGCGTCGGCCTGCGGTCTGGAGAGACCCGGGTTCGGTTCCCGCTAAGGGCGCGTACTTCGGTTGCAGTTTGTCCCCGGCCCTGGTTGGTCGTGCGGGTGGCAGCCACTCGATGTGTCCCTTCACGTCCATGTTTCTCTCCCTTCCTCTCTCTCCCTCCCACTCTATCTGTACAAAAAATGGAAAAATATCCTCGGGTGAGGATAAAAAAATAAAATAAAAAAAATAAATAAAAAGAAAGAAGAACAGTCAGGCTGTATTTGGAAGCCTAGCAGGTTGATGAACATGCTCTTTTCTGCTATCAAGGAAGCAAAGGAAGGATCGTGGCAATGACACAGCTTTAGAGTTGACCAGTCCTGGGTTGGCATTCCAGTTTCACCATAACTAGCTCTACGACCCTGGAGAAATTACTTTGTTCCTTCACCTTCAATTGGGAAGAAATTACCTTGTTCCCTCACCTCCAAGTATAAGAGGCATAAATCCAATATAAAGAACTATATATTAGGACTGAAGAATCTTATTTAGTTTGAAAGGTCAGGGAATGTCTCTGAGGAAGAGGGACCTAAGCTGAAATCTGAGTGGGAACTTTGGGAGAAATGAGTGGCACTGTGAGGTGGAGTGGCATAAAGTGAGGTTGAAAAAGTAGGCAGAGGCAGGCACACAACTGAGAACAATACACCCATGTTAAGGATCTAAGGTTTTATACCAGTGCATCAAGAGGGGTTTGAAGAAGTGGCATGATCTGATTTAAAAGATGGCTCTACTGGTCTAAGTACTGAATGGATTAGAGATGGGAAACAGGAGATGCTACAAGACAGTACAGACAAGAAAAAGAGGGGCTTGGCCTGGAGAAGTGACAAGATAAAAGTGGACAGATTTGAGATATTGTGAAGGGTCCACTTATCACAGGATGTGATAGTGAACTAATTACATGTGTGGAGTAAGGAGAGAGGTCACACATATGTCTGATGAAGATTAGTGGCAGCTGGCATTTACTTGACATTTTATTGTCCTAACAATCCTCAGAGGTGAGTGTGCTTATGCTTCTCATGTTACAAATGAAGAGTATAGGTGACTCACTTCACTGTGTGCTCACACTACTAGTATGTTTAGGGTGAACTGGGATTCAAATCCTGCCAGTTGAAATTTCTGGATTTTTAGCTTCACAAAAGTACAAACGTAAATGCCATTTACTGAGATGACAGAACACTAGAAGGTTAAGTTGATTTGGGAAGTAGACATACAGAATCCGTGATCAATGTGATTGATAGCAAGGGAAATTTTAGTTCAACATACAGGACTGGAGCTTAAAAGAGGATTGGACTAGAAATCGGAAAATCATTGTATATCCCTGGTACTGACAACCATGGGGATGACGTAAACATTTTCATAGGAACATGTATAAACAAATACTGCATTCCATCAAATCTGAGACATCATCCTTATTTTATTGTCATCCAATAATTAAGGAGGACTACTGACACTTAATTTTAAGATACCATCAATATAAGATGCATCCAGATTTTAGAAATGTTAAAATAAAAATGATGTACACCTTAGAATTATTGCTATGCAATAATTTTAGCAATAAGTTCAGTGTCCTAATAGAGACAAACAAGAAGAGGACGTGGTAGGAAAAGGCTTTCCTGACAAAGTGATATGACTACATAAGTGAGCCAAGTACAAAACTCGGGTCTCCTCCTTCCAAGTCTTCCAGTCTACTTTAGTACTTTCATTTTTGGTTTTGTTGTTTTTTCCAAAGCTGGTGCAATGCTTCTCTTCCTGACAAGAATTAACTAACCAAGTTAGCAGCTCCTTTGTCCAGGTATAGTTAAGCAATAAAGAGAAAGATTTCAGTCTTTGACTTGGCAATAATGGTTAAAAAGTAAGGCTTTTTAAGTGTCTTCACATACTTGCCATATGACCTAAAGCAAAACACTTGTTTTTCTCTCCTAATCTCAGTTTTCTTTCATGTAAGTATTACTACTTTCATACCTAGTTTCTATGACAAACAAGCAAAATGACACATGTAAAATGGATAGCAATCTCTGGCACACAGGAAGCATTCAAATAAATGTTAAGATAATATAAAATTGATTAACAACCATCCAATTCTCTAGTAGCAGACTATAACAATTTAACTAGTTTAATGATTGGGGGAAGAACAATTCCCAAGTCACAGCCCCATTTTAGAAGGACTGTGCTTTATTTAAATTTTCTAATTTGGGCTTTTAGAATATTGCTTCTGACAATATTCGTCATGTAGAGTTTTCTAAGTATTGGTATATATGGATAAATGAGATTTCTTTGCCCTTATTTTAACTAGAAAACTAGTTAATTAGAAAATACAGTCTCTGCCCTGGCCAGTTTGGCTCAGCGGTTAGAGTGTCAGCCTGCAGTCCAGAGAGACTTGGGTTCGGTACCTGCTAAGGGCATGTACCTCATTTGCAGTTTGTCCCCGGCCCTGGTTGGGTCGTGTGGGAGGCAGCCACTCGATGTGTCCCTTTCATGTCAATGTTTCTCTCTCTCTCTCTCTCTCCCCCTCCCTCCCTCCCTCCCTCCCACTCAATCTGAACAAAAAATGGAAAAATGTTCTCGGGTGAGGATAAAAAAAAAAAAGAAAATACAGTCTCTAATTGTGGTTTAAAAAACTGTTAATGACTCACATGTATATATATATATTTTTTTACATAATGTACATGTGAATAAATCATACATATACATAAATATATACAAATTTATTTTGTTTACTAACAACAAAAAACAACATCCAAAACCATATTTTACTTGGAATAGCCTTGAATCGTGCTCAGATTTCAAATGCGAGACAGTTCTGCAAATCACATTAAAGTATTACAGAAAAATACTTGTTCTTATATTTTTGTGCCCTGGTTCTACCTCCTTGTAGAGAGAAGTTAGAGCTAAGGACAAGAGAGAGAAAATCTAACAATGGGACTCCTGCAAAGGCCAGGTTTTTAAGTTGTCTATTGAAAGCCCCCTTATTATAGGAAAGAGGCAACCGATGGTACATCAAACATCAGACATTCTTAATAGTCCCACTGATCATTACTAATAATGGTGCTTAATGCTTTGGTGAGGAACTTACACATCCTAGACTTTTTGGAGGGTCTAAATTTCTAATGTTCTGTTCCTTTGTCAAACCCTGTCTGGAAATATGCCCTGTTATATACTGTTTGGAAATGTGTAACTAAAGCTACAATGCAGAGGTAACAGATGACCAAAAGAAACAAAAGGCACAGTATATACCCACCTTTAAAAATACAGATCTTGAATTTGAAAAAAGAAATCAACTGAGATGTGCTAAAAAGGTGAAAATATAAAACAAAAACTACAACCAAACAAACCAAACTCCACCTTTTTTTCTCTTAGTCCAATTAGCAGCCAGTGTACTTTTAGATAAGACACAAGAAATCAAGGACCACTTACACTCATCAAACTCTCCCTTTTAATTAATTTAGTCCAGGTTTTCAGAAATCACCTCATCTGATTTCTATTTTCTCTACTACAATTAGCATTCTTATTTATCTGCTTCTAGCATCACAGGCACATATGGGGTATCAAAAATAATTCAGTGATTCTTATGTTACTCCAGAAGGAAATTTTAGGATTAGTAATCTCTTCCTCTGCTCCTCTCTCCACTCTCTGTGAGAATTAACAATGAATTACACAAACTACTCGAGCCCATAGGATCCTCATAAGAGCCAAGGCTTAACTCCACATTCCTCACAGCTCACGAAGCCCCTTCTGCAGAACAGTTTATGACAGTGATGCTCACTTCTTGCACACTTCCTGCTATTCCACCACTGCCCTGAAGTCCAGGATGCACCCTATAGTTGGCCTCCGACAACTAACTAACCCCTCGGGGCTCTTGTCTGGGCCTTCATGGCCATGCTTTTATTCCGTGCTGATTAAAAGTAAAAGGTCTCAACATCAAAATATTTAAAACCATTCATTTTTAATGAAGTATTGTATTGGTGTGTATTTGTTATTAAAGTAAAACAGGGTTTTGTAGGGGGAAAAAACTGAACGAGCAATGTATAAATAGGCAAACACCCACCAGACCCTACGCGAGCCAAATTATTGCCAACCTATTAGAGTACTTCCATCCACAGCTTTGGTAGGAAATAAGCATGCCACTCACTGTTGGAGGGAGTGTAAGTTGACATACAATCTTTTGGAGGGCAGTTCAGTAATAACTACGATAGTGAAAAATGCATATGGTCTCTGACCCAGTAATTTCACCTCATAGTAATAATTGTCCAAATAGCGAAAGATACAGATATACAAATGTTCAGTGAGGCATTTTGTATACTTATGGAAAACTGAGAATAACCTAAAGGTCTATCAATAAGTGAAGGTTTCATGGTATAACCACATCATGAAACACTGTGCACCATTAAAAAGGATGAGATAGGTTTCTATATATTGACATTAAAGAATGTTGTATGTTCCGGCTGGTGTGCTCAGTAGATTGAGC